TTTTTTCACTGGGTATTTGTAGGACCTTACCTCGAAAGCAAGAGGATATTGTGTTTAGTTGTGACGAGAGTTGACGTAATGAACAGGTTTATTACAAAAGGTTCTGGCGTAGTCATTTATTTCATCGAGACATAACGGGAAAATCTAGGGCAATTACTGACCCTGTATTCCATTTTTTATCACCCAATAACCTGTATAGTCTGGTTTTGTTGTACTGCAAATTTGTTTGCACAAAGGCCGAACTCATCATCATCATCATCATCGAACAGCAAATCACAGAAAGGCGAACTTCACTGATCGCTGCCAAACTCGCAGTGCATATGCATTGGAGTTTGATGGACGGGTACTGTCAGGGTATCCATCCACTAGACAGGAGAACCATTAGGGTTCTCATTCAAAGCCTTTAGGACCGACAAGAACCTAGCCACAAGACAGCGGGTGAAGCGAAGTGATGGCCCATTTACTTGGATCAGTTACTCCTCCACTATTTTTTACCGACTGAAACGCAAATTCAAGTTGAACCCCCAACTTGGAGAACCAGAAAACTGAACGTCCTCTGACCTCTACCTTTTGACCATCCCGGAACTCAGACTGTTTTGAAATATCGTAGTATAACGCTAAGTCGGAATATCTGAAGGAGACTAATAGTGTCTTGAAAAATCGCAAATGGAATCAAAAGGATTTAACTGACGTTTTGCTAAAGGCTATGGTGACTTGTGAATCAATTCAATCATGATAATTGTCAAGGAATCAAGAGATCAAATCTGCTCTGTATAACGTTTGCAAAAAGGCTGCGACAGCCTACTGTGTGGTGATACGTACAAGATACACCGGATCTGTAAGTGATTCATAATGAACTTGAAGTGCCAACTTTCCAGGTTTTCAATAACGTTTGTCTATATCTAAAAATTTACTATACTATGTGACATGGTTTAATTTTCAGTATTCTCATGAGTGTGCACTTCGCACACTACTCATTATTCGGCAAATGAACGAATTTTTGTATATCTTATGTGTTGTTATGTTGCATTATTTGTTTGCAACCGAGAATATTTTCGGTGTATTTCACCCAAAAAACTCTATTGGAAGAACATTATTCAAAGAAAAAACTATTTCCTCTGGTTTAATTTATGATATTTGTGAACAAAATCTATGCGCAACAGGACCCGTCAGGGTACTTACACAAATTCGATCAACACTGTTATAAATACGACGTATCTGACAGCTTTTTAACTAACAACTGTCCCGGTTGTTCTTGGTTTGTTTCTTCGGCGGTAGTTTGGCAGTTTTAATTAACAAACTCTAACCAACGAGCTTGGTGGATAAACTTGCAATGCCCAAATGCCAAAGATGTGTATGTTTACATTGCCGCCATATTAGTTTCGTGCGGTTCAGACATTGTTTCGTGCTTCGTAGACGAATATGTCTAGTTCATTCTTTTTCCACCCAGCCGCAATTCGCTATAATCTTACTGAATAGATTTTAAACTATGTCCAAAACATTTTCCTAGAAGTTAGTCAGGTAGATGAGCAAAACACAACATGGCACATAAATGCCCCTACTCATCGGCTATTTGAAACGGAAAAAATGCAAAGGTGTTCTAAAGATTGAGGATGAAACATGGAGCCTTTCTATCTTTTTCCGGAGAATAATTAAATTACCCAGTGATCAAGAGTTTTGTGGAACTACTGCGCAGTACACTTAATTCGAGTGGTGCTGGTGGTGGGTGAGTTATGCGTAACACTATCACAGAATTTTCGTGTCCAAGCACTTATAGCTGTTGTATTCGCCCCTGGCAATCTTGTATCAATCTGAACCATTTTTCATTTTAATAAATAAATAAACTGTAGCGTTCCAACGGAACCACATTAACATTTCTATTATTCAGTTCACTAACCCTTTGTTTTAAATCTTTCTTCTTTAATGTTTGATAATCAATAACCCTCCCTGGAATTGAAAACGTTCCGAATTATTTCAATTATTTACGTGAACCGTAGATCACTCAGAAAGAAATTTGTGATCATGGTTCTACCATATTCATCCGGTCACGTTGCTTTGTAAAAAGAGAACAGAAGTTCGCCTGTATTCGGCAGTAGTAGTAGTAGTAGTAGTAGTAGTAGTAGTAGTAGTAGTAGTCTCCGAAGCTGACTTGATTCGAACCCCGTCAAAGTCAACGAACTTCGCGTTCGGCCTTATAGCTCGTTTATCTTTCTGGCGTCTTACGCAGTTCCCTAGTCTGAGTCCCAGAATGAATAATACCAATTACGAACTCTGAACGATAAGTCTTTGATACCAGGGATTCGTTCTTCCTTTTCAGTCCACGGAACAAAACCAAATAAACAATAAAACACAAGAAAGTAAAATCTGGGAAAACATTATTAGCCAAGTAGCAAAACCTCACTATCAAAAGGAGATAAACAATTAATGTGTCAACAAATTGTTTCACAGAATGAAATTATGAATCAGAAGGAAGTCCACGTCTGAGCATCATCTCGTTACGATAGGCATTTGCTACTAAAGTTTTATATATACTGATCCGTGTTGGAAGTGTGGTATGTCTTGTTTGTGAACCTTTTATTGATATCCAGTGTATGTGACGTATACATATCCTAAAAGAGTAATCAGGTGACAGTGATCTTGGACATTTTGCCGAGTATCGATGATAACCCACATCAGATATTTAATGTTAATGTGCTTAAGCAAAACATCTTATGATCCCTTGTTTAGTGTTCACAAACTTATGCGTACAGTAGATCAATGATAGGAGACGGAATAATGCTTTCCCAAGGAACCGTGATGGGCAAAATGCTATGATCGATTTTTTTATGTAACTTGCTATTGATGAAGCTTTTCACGTTTGTATTTGAGCGATGAAAATTTTAACGGAACATATCTGTTTGGCTCACATGCAAATTAGAGTAAGTTCACACATATTAGATTTCGACATCTCACTATTCATTCTTTCAGTATGCGTCTTTGAAGTTGCCGTCTGGTTGTAGCATCTATAACAAAGCATGGAACCATTGGACTCTGAGTAATATATCATACTGAATCTGCAAAAAGTTTGCCTATCCAAGTCCAGGTGTTAGAAAAATGGGTGGCAGTTCCTCATGACAATGGAATTCACCGTTTATACTAGTCATCCCATCAAAATATTATTTTTTTCCTTCCAGTTAACTCCCATTTATTAATTACATGAATATACAAATTACAGAAAAGAGGAGGTAGCCAGTCAAAGGGCTGCCCACAACACACATATTGGGGAAAGGAATTATGTATAAGACTATTGAGAAAAATCATTCGTACAATGTTATTAAATAATTTGGTAAATTCCTGTGATTGCGTTTCAAATCGAGTTGACCAGGTTACATTAAAAGCAAGCACTAAAACCGCTATCCTTGTTTCACCATATTTATGGTCAACCCCGTTAAATGCGTGCTTTTCAAGGGTCTTGTATACGTACTTCAATCTGCTCCGCTTTGATTATTTCTCAAATGCATTTCAAACTATGCGAGTGAAACGCAAAAAGTGACAGCTCACATCCCCGCCCTCATCATCGGCCCCGGTGATGCAGTGAATTTAGAACATTCACGTGATAAATTGTAGACCGCGCAAAAAGAACGAATACATACTTGTCCCACTCCCGACTTTTCCACCCGGTCGCCAGTTGCAAAGGACCTCGCAGATATGGCTTCAATCAGGCGATTATATGAATCCTTACAAATGTCCAGCTGGATGTATGTGTGTGTGATTTGCAACAGATTTTTGTCAAGAAATGTGCGACCGAACGAAAGGTATATTTTCGAATTGGATGAAAGCTGTTCCTTTCACTTTCGTGTGATTAAATACGTTTTCGTTTAACGAAATTTATCGATAAAATTTGATAGTGAACACCCTCCCCAACCGTGAGACAGATATGCATGTGCCACGTTGTTATCGTTGTTTCATATTCGCGCTGCACACACAAATTCAAATGTGTCCATCCAACAAAGAATACATACATTGGAAAAATTGCACGAGCATGATCATGATGATCTTGTCGGACGATAGTGGCCAATAAATGGAGTTGTTTGAATCATTCACTCTACGCACACGGATTCCGATTGTATATGCCCAGTTTTGTAAAACATTTTTTTCGTAGTCCACACCAACACTACATAAAAATTTGCCTCTAGCGTAGTGTGTGACCTATCAAATGCTTACAAAATATTACCCAGTATGCATTAAAGGGATTCGAATTTTCGGTTAGTTTATAGTCAGGAGAATCACCAGTTGAGCATTGCTACGTAGGTTTCAAAACAAATGCACCGAGGTTTGTCGAGGGGAGATTTGCGTAACAGTACCAAAACGATTTAAGGCAATTCAATCTAAGTAATAAAAAAGGACCTAACAATAACCATACATACCAATGCCACTTAAGTCTCTAAACATTCAACCTAAAGAGCAGCGACAAAAAATAACAATGACTTCAATCTGCGTTATCAGGACAAACGAATTACTTCAGTCAAGAATGTTCACTCATAAACACAGCTTGGATCACTTTCAGCTACAATATCAAAGTGGCTGTAAAAATTTCAAGTTATGTATAGTATTATCAGTTGAAATAGTTAAACCGATAAGATTTCCAAACCAGAAGATTGACTTGGATTTTAAAACCATTCTAGGTTAATCATGGCGTCCCAGAAATCTGCCGAATCGGTCTGATGACCATTTAAAAATCAATCACGTTTCACAAGATGCCTTTGAAACCCAAAGTTATGAGAAACCCTGGACTTGAGGAATACTTCGCGAACGTCATATGTTACAACTTTTGACATGAACCGTTAAGTTTTATTATTTTCAGTTATTGTCCTCTAGTAATATCATGGAATAAATGAGCGGTAAAGCTACATATGAATCAGAAAAAATAAAATCAAAGACGACATATAACGGCTTAAAGAATAAACAACCCACAGCATTTGTTTACATTGATCTATACGGCGTCGGCTGCATCGACTCACCTCAACAAACCGTAAGGAAGATGAACTAAAAGCGTTCCAGCATCTGCCACAGCGAGAGCAGTCATAAATATATATGGGGTCGCTGTGAACTGACGATGACTGAACACGATAACGTTGATAATATTCAGACCTGCACCGACTAGACAGACCACGGTTTGCACAATCAGTGCGCTCCATACTTCCACAATATGTACACCGTAAGCGGACTGAGCTGTTCCGGTTTGATTCGAAGAAATACTGATCACAGCGTCTGTATTGTTCATTTATTCTAATGCAGTGGGCTGTGTGGCTCGTAATTCAATCACACTTATTATAGAATCATTTTTGTGACTGTGATGTGCTATTCTCAATTTTTCCCTGTGCAAGACATGATATAGGATTTACTACCAAGCAGTCCACGATTGTCGGATTCTGATTGGCTGGTAGTAGGCAATCGGTGATTGGTCCAACGTGACCACAATAGTGGTCACGAAATATTATCTTCAGATGGGTAAAAATATTATCACAGTGATAAGTTATAAAATATCCACTGGAATAACCAATAGTAAATCTATTATAGTCATACCATTTTAGCTCTTAACGACTGTAATCACGTTGAACAGAAGTGATTGGCTGATCCCAGTCCCATTTCAAGTCTGAAATCCACTTCGTTTTTCAGCTTGCATTGTCATTGGGTGTTTGTGTACCATTTAATCGGACACGAAGGTAACTGATTACTGCAATTAGTTGCAAGCTGTGTGTGAACGGTTAAATGGACTGGGCACACTTTTCCCCAACCGACCAGTCAAAATGTTAGTCAAGAAGCACGATTCGTCCATTTCTTATTATTCAGTTGCTAATATAGCTGCTCATATAGCTCATATATAGTTGCCCCTACTATAGCCCAGCCAGTAGAACAACGCAGGCTACGTGAAAAACTCATTCCAGAAAAACACGTGTACGCGAGTGAACCACTGGTCATAAAGATTCATCTCTGAGCACGCTGACCTACGTTTAAAAGCATTGTCGGATCGGGAGGCAACTAACATCTTCCACGGGAATTGAAAATAAAGCGCGAAACATGTGGACTGAAACTGACTTCAGTTGAGCAAATCTCACAAGTTTTACTAATGAACCCACCAACAGTAAACGGAATATCATAGATGGTATTAAACAACCATTTAATCTAAAAAATTACTTGTTTCTGATTATGAGTCATATGGCCGTTTTTGACCGCGATGGATAAAACATAGAAAACATTTTTTGATACGATTTAGTTGAGGACTGGTCTAGAACCGAAACTTTATGCCAGCCTGTAAGAATGCAGATAGAAAACGCACAAACTGTCTGACAGCTGTGCAGATCAATAACTCACAGAACTGATCATAGTTTTGCCATGGTCTTTACGTATGCTTTCCATGTAAATTTGAGACAAGACTCAATTTGACACACGAATTCCATTGTCACACCCAACATCAACATCTTATCCATTAAGAATGAATTGCTTTAAGGTGCTATGATCCGTGTTTTCAATTTACACTGTATTCGGTCTGTATTGGGACTACGTAATAATGTCTCGAAAGACGAATTGCGGTCCAGAAAGTGCCTTGTTGTCATCGGATGTTTTACAAAAGATGACCCTAAATTTCTTATAATCACTTGACCATCAATCAGCATTTGTCTTTTTTCGATATTGTTGAAATACATAAAGGTCACTCCATGTTTTAACTTGGTTTAAAAATAAGTTTTTCATTTCATAAAACTGCTCTGTAACAACATAAAATCCGTAATGCTGACAACCAAATACAGAGAAGCAGGATCTAGACTTATTCTATTCATCTACTGCAACGCTTTGCATTCATCGTTGAGGAAAAGTGAAAAATGTCATTATATAAATCGTCTTTCGCTGGCATTAATTTTTATTATGAACAACTGGCATTATTGAACTTTTATCGCGTCAGGGTTTGAAAACTGAAGTTAAATTCAAGCAAAGGTATGAGAATCAATTTTAAAGGCTCATCTAAATGAAAAGCATTTGCTTTGATAGAAACTGTTCTATATGCATCATTTTGTTTGGAACAGCAAAAGGGTGAAACTCGTCATTCTAGAAATCGAATTTTTACTTGCTGTAACCGACAATCTGGACTTTGATACTCCTAATAACGATATGTATGAAGCATTCTCAGTACAGACATTGCATTACAACGGCAGTTAGAATTATAATGTCACACCACCGTTCATCGGTTTTGATGATAATCATATTGGACCTCAAACAAAGGAAAACAATGCATGCGTTGGTGGCGACCGAATCTGCTTGAACTCCACCATGAATAAGATGTAGAACGCTTGATTTGTTTGAAAACGTCAATAGATATTTTCTCGTAGTGGGACTCACTTAATTTTGAATCAATTTTATGGGGATGTGAGCAGAAAAGGAGTTCAGACATCGACAAAGGAGGGTACAATACATTTTGAATCTTTTCTGGAGCATTTATTTGAGATCTAAGCTCGAATTATACAAAGTTGAGCGAGATTTTAAAATAATTACGTAGTCAATTTGCAAGTTGCAACGATGAGGTGCCTTGCGGCGCACCCAGTTTATTGCTCATTTCACAGCTACTGAAATCAATGGACTGTAAAAGATTGAATAGAATGATTGTGTTTAGCCGGTGGGAGGGCATTAACTGGTCGCCGCTACTGCCATTTGACTTGAATCATTCTCTGCCTGTTGCATGGCAGGTTGTCTTTTGCCGTAACCCCCTCTGGAGAACCGTATCATTGTTTATTTTTTAAAACAGTGAAAGATAATATACGGAAGAAAATTAAGTACTGTTGTACAGCAATTTAAATCTATTTTAGTGAGTTCACTCAAGCAAGAAAACTGTGAAACATATGTATTTATTTATTAGGGTTTATTCCTCACTCAATAGTTGAATTGCGAAATGCAAACATATGAAAGGATAACCTTCGCATTTAATTTACTTTTGGAAGTTATAAATGTGGAATTATTTACTCTATCAAAATACGTGGATTGAGGACAATCTAATTTCCCATTTTTTCCGTTCTGTTGTCTAGCTTATATCTAATTTAATTAGAGACTTCAGAAAAGACGCATAAACTTTGAAGAATAATGCTTCGAATTTGATTAAGAAACAAAGGACGGTCTCATCTGAATACGATGATTTATCTGAGCTGCATGATGGGAATAAGTTTTCTTCAAACAATCAGGAATGTGGCAGAGTATACGCCTCATCCTACAACCAGAGGAGATGAAGTTAGTGAAAATTGCAATGAGTTTTCAAGCAAAGAACAGACTAATTTGAGGAGACAACTGGCGATATATAAACTCATAAAATCCCAATATAGACGGTACATGCTTAAAATCTCTTCTAAAATTTGTTTACTGTGAAACTGCTCAAATGTTTGCAGCTTATTTTAGTCATTTCAACCGAAATTGTCCTGATCAAACACATGCCCCCCCCCTTGTTCGTGAATTGAAACGTGTACGGTATTCTTGTGTCCATCTTCGCACCGTTGCATCGTTTTATCGTATTCTATATCTGTACAAACCAAATATCGGTGACGTGCTTCCTTCTTGCTTACAATCGGTGGGGTGAATCTCGATTAAGTGTTTTGGGGATCGATTCCCCAACAATTCACAACAACCGGGACACTACCTTTTTTGAGCCAATTTCACTTTGTCCTTTTGACCGGAATATATCAACTAAGCTCTGTCCTTTCTGTCACAGCTTACGTGATGTGTTAACCATTGCTAATTTGTTCTCGGGTGGTTCCCGAGGTACGCTGACCTTAAACACAATATCCACTCTACTGAGAAAACAATTTTCGACAAGAATAGTGAACCGACGTCTCAAGAAAAACCTTGACCTGGAAACGTATTCCCCCCCCCCCAAAAAAACACTTGGTTGACCTAATGAAACGGTGCTGCGAACAAGGTTTTTTTCCTGATGAACCCCACCTGGTTTTCTGCTTCATCTTGAGCCCTAATCGTTGATTCAATAAATGAATCTTGGGTTCGGATGGTGCATAAACTGGCTGATAGAACGCTCTCTACGATGGTGTTTGAACCATCGAATGAATGAAAACAAGAGTAACACAAAAATATACGCAACTCACATGAGTAAAAATCCGCTCTGCTGGTAAGATGTCATTCAGGTCTGGCAAAGATATAAATATATTCAACCGCTTCCAACGATCCGTTTTCGAGTACGGGGTATCTGACAGATAGGTCACCAGTAAATGAATAAACTTCTTCACAGTCTTTTCAAGGATATCTCAAATAACTTTGTTAAACCATCACATTTTATGTGTTCATCTTGTTCGGTGATTAAACGCAGCGCAAAACAGATGCGAACATTTTAAATGTGGTGGAATTGATTGGGATAACCTACAAAGGGCACTAGACAGCTGTTTCGGCCTGCTCGGGACTCGTTAGTAGTGCCCCTTTTTGTGTCCCTTTCAGGAATCAGACCGCGCACATTTGGGTAGGGACTTCAAAACCTTACCCATGACCACCATCAACAGTGCCTGGTGCCTGTGAAAAACCTTATGGGCGAATCCAAACATTCTCCGTCTAAATGTAAATGTTGCTTTCCGTTTTGACAAACAGAGCACGATTCGGTCTACAGTTGACAGCAGTGTACATTACCAAACTCTCCCTTCACAGGCGATTCATGGATTCATACAGTTCACAATGATCGTATTGTACTGATTCTGTACGCAGTTATCACACGCTGCTTATTCGTTATTATTATTTTACTGTATTATATCAATGAAAATATTGAATGAATCTGAACGTTTGTCAATCGAATTGCAGCTCTATTATGCTCAGAACGTGAATCTAGTTCACTGAGTGGGTTCAATCGAGCAACATATATGAGTGATTGAACGATAATGTCTCCGCAAGTGTATCACACACGAGAATATTCCAACTAGACTTTTTATCATATTGTTCTATACTCTTGGAATTTCTTTCGTTTGGTTGCTGCATACACAGCTTTCACAATTTGAAGGTTTGTTTTCTCATAACAAAAAGACGTCCAACCGGTTTACGGTGTAGGGATAATTCATATTTAAAATAACTGAGAAGAGGACAATAGATGGGTCATCACAGTGGTTTGTAGATGGTCCCGAGGTATAGTTATATTTTAGTTTGGAATTATCTAAATGTGTTCATATGTTTGAATGCAGACTTGCTGATGCAAGGTTGATTTTGCGGGTTCTGTAAAGCTGAAGTTAATCTATGTAACAAACTCGTTATCGA